CACGCCATACCTACCTGCTCATTCCAGCAATCTTACCTCTGTGGTGGACCAAGAATCTAAACCAATGACTATTTGCTCCCTTCTTCATCTTTCAGTGCAAATTTTCTCCCTGGCAGCTTTGTGTACATCTGGACTTTGGCCAGTTGAGCAGGGGAGATTCATGATCTCATGGCAGATGTTCTTACCTCATACTTGTTCAAGACAAGGCAATACTCATAGCTTACTCTCAAATCCTACCCAAGGCAGTGTCAGTGTTTCATTTGAGTCAGGAATGAGTTTTCCTATTTTGCTCTAACGTGGCTTATGCTATGTATGCTATTGTCAAACTCCCTCTGCATGCTGCTGTCTTTGAACAACTGGCTCTTCAATCTTTGTACTGCTAAGAGAGAGATGAATGGCTTTTTGTAACAAGCACCATCTGAAGTCTATGACTGTGTGACTATACAGATAGTCACTTAAAGAAACTATTAATTTTTTTGGACGTATGTAAACGTTTAAGCATTTAATGGATGCCCACAATTTGGTCCTCTCCCTTGGAGTTCCTGAAGGCTTTCTCAGGCTTTCCCAGCTATCAAGGTATTGAGTACGGGAGGAACATGTCTTATGCTTGTTAGGGCCATATAACATGCATAGAAGATAAGGTTTGATTTCATCCATAAAGGTCCTGGTGAAGTAAAAGTTATTTGGCTCTCTGTGCTTGTGTATGTGAATCTTACGTGAGAATGTACACGCAGAAAAAATATGAGGTAACAGTTAAATAACCTCTGTAGCCTTTTATGGACTCTTTCAAAGGAATCTGATATGAGATCTGGCACATTAAATCTTTAGGAAACTTTTCTTGTTTAAGCCTAAAATTATGAAGTTTCCAAAGTGGAGGCAAATAAAGTATTTTGTCATTTTAAGTAGGAAGAACGTTCCAGACATAATCCTATAATCTGCCTCTCCATCCCAAAGATAGTAACTTCCTCCTCATTTGCACCAGGGACAGAGTTTGGAACTTCTTCACAGAAGCTGCAAATGTTACAGAAAAAAATGGATAAGTACTGTTGAAGATTGTTCCTGGTTTGTTTACAGATTTCAGGAGGCCCTGATATATCCATTAGTCAGGTCCAATGTAGGAATTCCTGGAAAGCCTGTGGCTGCTGAGGTGCCAGAATCTATTGAAGCTATTTTGCTGTGGGAACTATAATACATTTATATCTCACTATGTGTTTCAGACACATGTCCTACAGCAAGGCTGAATCTAGTAAAGCTTCCTTATATTCTACCCATAGAGCAGGCATAAGCTGGTATTTTGCACAATCCTCATTCTATACATATGCACACCTCTGGTAGCAAAACTGATTTTTTTTTTTCAGTTATATTTTGCTGTCTTCTTTGGACAGTTGTCCAAAAAAAGATACAAACAGCAACAACAAAAAACAACTGGACTACTAATTTGTATTGACGTAATGTCATATCAGCCAGAAGATAAGACAGACAATTAGCATTGCAGTAATTCTTTTATCTTATGTATATATCTTATGTTGGAAGATAAATGTTATGAAAATGTAAACATGAAAAAAGTGTGTGTATATATGAAATACTGCTTTCTTCTAGAGGAGACATGGTTTCCCACAACGATTTTTTTTTCCTGGATGAATATCAACTGAGATGTAAAATAGTCCAGAGCCCATTTGTCTTTGTAGGTGCAGGTTTTGCTTCTCACTTGTACTTATTGCTATTCCACCTACCCGAAGCTATAGGAAGGTGAACAAGCAGAATCAGCTTGGGCTTTTGCAGCTTGCTTACTGGAGTCAGCCTGACCAACAACATCCCAGCCTTGAGAAAATGCATAGGTAATTTAAACAAACAAGTCTCCAAGCATCTTTTTCCAATTTATTTGCATTATATTCTGTAATAAGGAATAACAGAAAACAGGCCCAAAAGAACAGCCCCTTTTAAAATAAAAAATACATTTAGAATCACATACATTTGATCTAGATTTGAAGAATGAGCAAAAATAAGAGCTGTAGTTGCCAACATTCTTTTAACCCACTACAGGCTCTTTTCAATAAGATGAGATTGACAATTTTTATTTGCTAAATTTTTAACTCATTAAGAAATGCTAATTGATCTCTTTTCTGCATTCAGTTCATTTTTCAATAGGTTCTCACTTTTTTCTGTCCATTTGCTGTAACTTACGTGCGTAGGTGTCATGTGTGTATGTATGGGTGCTATCTTGGATATATGTTATGTAAGCTAATGTCCTGGTTATCCTGATATACCTCAGCTATTCCCAAAGCAAATACCAAAAAAGTAAACGGAAAAAACACCGATAAAGCAATTGCCTCCAACTGTACGTGTTGAAGAAATTAAAGACTTCTTCTTAAGGTGGACTTTACAGTCAGCCGAGCATCTGACCAGCATGTAAAAATGCAGTTTTACATTATAAATATGATAGGGTGAAGGCTCAACACTGGTGGGGAAAAAGAAGTCAAAAATCAAACAAAAACAATACGCAAACAGAAAACAACTTCTAAAAGTTTTAATTTTCTTTTCTTCTTTTCTTAAAAAACCTTCCAGGGGGACTGGATAGCTCAAGGGGTTGGTAATAGGATACAGAGCCTTTCATCTCTAGGTCACCAGTTCGCATCCAGGCCAGGTCAGTAGTGACCAAAAATTGTTACCATTTGATGGGTTTTCAGTGACCTATATGAAATAAGTTGTTGGAACCGTTGTTGGAACAGTTGCTGGAAGCTGTTCACTTCTTATTCAAGAAGATGTGGCTGATCTTTTGGCAGTCTCAGCAGCGAGACTGCATTACCTGTTCATCTGAAGATGCGAGACACGCTGATGGCATTTTGTAGAAATCTTTCTTTCTACAACTATTATCAATTCATAATTGTTGTAACAATTACTGTAGCTGTTAGTATTCTGCTGCCTGTTCTGGATCTGTGCTGTGGTCCAACGGATCTCAGGGTTGTTAAAAAGGTAACTGCTACAGGCACTCAATTCATACAAAACCATTCTTCGTGTGAGCACAGGTAACCTTAATTTGTTTAAGTTGCAGGACCAAATCCCTATCTTTCTTTCTTGACATCTTTATTTTCAGGTTTTTCACCAAGATTAAACAGAGGAATTCAATCAGTATAACACATCCAGAACATTTTTATGGGTGAAGGAAAAAAAAAAAAAGATAAGACAAGCACTAGCTGGCCTAGAATTTCAAAGTAGCAATAGCATAATACAGTGTCATAGATCAGGTCAGACTTGGAATAAATTCCAGAATCATTGCATTCCAAATTTTTATGTTGTTCTCAGTTCCACCAAGCTAAGTAGCAACAGACTTCTTCTCCCCACAGGACAGTAAAAAAACATTTCCCTCACTCCTTTGAAAATTATTTCTTATGTTCAGAATATTACTGGGACCTTGTTAGCCTTTTAAAACATTTTTTTAAATGGCTAGCTTATGCATACATCACATAGATACTTCACATTTTCTATAATAGAAACCTCAAGAAGCAAGCATGCTTCCTTTAAAGTTATCACCAAAAATAGATGCTGCCAAGAAAAGCTAAATTTAAAAAAATTCATGGTTTTATAAAAGACAGGGATAATTCTCAGTTACAGAAAGGTCCCATTTCTACTGTCTGCCAATGGAGGAGGCCCTTAAAATGAGAATTAAATATGCCCTGAAAATAACATTTCTACTGAAGATTTCTAAACAGGTCCTATTTCCTGGCCATAACATTTGGGAGGAGAAGGGTGCTGGGTGACGAGTAACACAACCACAACACTCCACTTCCAAAGGCCTTCAAGAGGCTGTGAAATACAGGTAGTAAGACTGAGCAGTTCTGAGCTTGCTCAGAATTATGTTCGTAGTGGGGAAGATCCCTCTGTGTTGCAGAAAGCAGGAAATAAAGATGGACTAAGACACTTTAATACACCCCAAGTATCCATGCCAATCCTTTCCTGTTTTGCTGCAGGAATTGGATTACTGAGAATCAGAGCCCTACTATGTATTTTATTTTACTTTCCAACAAGGTCCTAAAAGTTTTACAGAGAAAAAAAGTAAAATTTAAAATAAAATATAACTTGTAAATGAGATCTGGTATTGGATACTTAAGTAGAAATGATTGCTCAGCTATTAGCCAAACAAATACCACAGAAGTTTTGATAGCTCTGACAGACACATGTGATTAGTTACTGTATATATGAGAAAAATAGACCTTTTATCTACATAAATAATTATTGACATCTTGCCTGCAAGGGGCTGAGACAGCAACTGGCCAAAAGTAATTTAAAATGCAAAATCAAACCCCCTAAATACGTCCTTGAGATACGTCCTTCTTTAGATAAATGAAGGGTATTACTGACTTAAACTCAATACATTAAACAATAAGACTGGAGCTTGAAATAAATTTTGTTGATTCAAGTAGACACATATTGCAAAACTGTCTTGCTTTTCTATACAAAGAAATTAATCTTTGTTATAACCTTGCATGGAACAATAAGGCAATAAAGATATGTATTTAATTCCTGCATAATCCTTTTAATGTAGAGCTTAGTTTCTAGATTCATGGCATTTGTGTTTTCAGCATAAATTTCAAAGCTATGTTGATCAAATCTACAGGCTGCCATTTTTCTTTAAACATTTTTAAGCTATAATTTGATGCATTTTCAGAATTTTAGTATGTCTGTATTTATATTTAACACGTTTGTCTTTTTTATATAGAACACATGAGTGTCAGGCTTCATCTAACTACCACCAGGTCTTCTCTTCTGTTTTTCTTTTAATTATTTTTATTTTTTCACTTATTTTTCTTTCACCACGTGTTCTAATGTTAAGTATTTAAAAGAACAGTGCAATGCTACAGTTATTAATGTACTGCTTTAACATTTATAGTATTAGTTTCTGAACAAGCATTTATTAAGCATTGGTAAAACAGTATACAAACCTTTATTGCTGTAAATATTCTTACACTCTTTTCTTTTTTCCCCCTGTATTTGTGTACTAGGTGGTTGTGAATGCCCTTTTAGGAGCAATTCCATCCATCATGAACGTGCTTCTCGTTTGTCTTATATTCTGGCTAATTTTCAGCATCATGGGAGTAAATCTGTTTGCTGGGAAGTTCTACTACTGTGTTAACACCACAACTGATGAAAGGTTTGAAGTCGACCAAATCAACAATTTTAGTCAGTGCGAGGAACTCATAAAAAACAATCAAAGTGCCCGATGGAAAAACGTGAAAGTAAACTTTGATAATGTAGGATTTGGGTATCTTTCTTTACTTCAAGTAGTAAGTGATCACTCTTTATATACCTCTTACTGTTTATACGTCATAGTGCAAAGCAATTCTAGCAACAAAGACAGAAAACATATTTACCTAATGATTTTTATCTGTAACTTAGTAATACTGCTGCATTGATAACTGATTACTCTTTTCATAGTAAGCAGCAAGTAGAGCCTACTAAGATGAATAAAGAATTTTTAGGATGTCTGACAGAACAAGTGCTATTCTTCCTATTTATAGCTCCCTTAGTCTTCCAACCCCTTCTAACTTTAAAAGTTTCTAGAATTACCTAGGAATGGTATTCAGCTATCTGAATACTTTAAGTTTTACTATTGCTGAAAAACAAAAATCTGCATTGGTGTGATTAAGTCACAGAGAAGAATTCCAGGTAGGAAATCCCATCCCAGTGACGTGTCTGCCATCAGTGCAGACTTATGTGATCTAAGAAGCAATTTCTCATTTGGAAGAGAAATAGGAAAAGAAAAATATGATTAGATACTACAATCTATGAAATATTTTCCCTGCTATTTCTGTGCATAAGCACCTAGTGGAGTTTATTTAGCAAAAACTGAGGGAAGAAAAGAAGGAAGAAAATATATGCAGAAAGATACTATAAGGTTATGCCTTCACTATCAAAAATCATGTCCTCACCACACTAACTATGTTTGCATTTAGGAGTAGCTAACAATCTGACCCAGCTTTAATCAAGAAAATGCTGGACTCTAACCTATGTTGTGTGCATTCAGCAACCTCTATGGTTTTTTGAGGTTACTGTCTAGTTCTGCGGAACCTTAGTTTTCATTTTTATAGTTTTTAAGTAAGTTTCTAGCTTTTATGTTGGCATAAGAAATCTCAATAATACAAATCATTAACGTGATGCAGTGGTATTGACACAGTCCTGCACAGGGTCTAAAACAATAGTTCTGAGCATTGTGAACTGCCTCTCCCAGCTAATATAGCGTCTCACCTGTGTGGCTGATAACTCTGACAATTTAAATTTCACTAGGATTAATTATTTACTTTACTGTCACATCAGGAAAGAGCAGAGAGGGACCAGCAGTATTAAAGAAATAAACTACTGAATACAATTTTATTTTGATAACAAAATTGGATTGTAATACAAAGACTTTAAATATTTCTTTTCTCTGTCTTATTTTTGAAATCCATTGGCCTAGAATCCCCCTTGGGGTCGGGGCAGCAGAATGCTTTGTTACACACGTTCAGGAGAAACAAGACGTCAATACAACTCTTTCCAAGTGGTTTGCAACTCTTCTTCCAGTAGTATTCTAGTCTATTCTGGGACAGGGATAACACCAGGTACATTTTTTCCTGGTTTTGTGGCCTCAACCACCACCCCTTAGCTACTTGCAGTCATATATATTTCAGTGTCCTGGCTATGCATAGCTTATTCCATCTTCTCTTCATTGAAAAGCAACAAATATTTCTTACATGAAGATTTAGATTCTTAAATTCATGGATTGTTCTGGGAGGCAAATTGGGAGAAATTTGCCGATTGTTTCCATGCTTCCAAAGAAAAAATTAATCTAGACCTACCACAGAGGGACCTAGCTCTCATGGGAGGACAAGCCAGCTGTTTTTGCAGTATCTACAATACAGAGATTTTGCACCAATATCAAAGGCTTGCCTAATGGGTGGATTTTTTTTGTGTGAGTAGAATGTCAGTGACAATACCACTTATTTTTTCTGTATTACTAAAATGCTTGTAAAAGCATGAAAATATTTTTTGTTTCACATACCAGAAAAAAATGGGGCACTTCTGTCATTCCACAAAACAGACACTTGGCCCTGCATCTTTTAGGGTTTGGTAAGTAAGCCGCTAGTAGTGGTTTTGCAGTTATGGAATGATAAAAGCCCTAGGGCAGAGAAAGCAAAATATCAGCTTGATTTTCAGCCAATGCTTTAAAATATGCAGAATCTATGGTTTTTTTCACCTTCAAGAACACAAGAAAGGCCACAATTCATAAATGTTTGAGATCTTACATCACTTTCTCAATCAAAGAAGATATTTATAAGGTGATTTTCTATTTGATATATAAAGTACTTTTGATGAGACTTTAGAACAGGATTCCAAAGCCATCGTGTTCAGAAAAAACATGAGAAGCAAATAGGTATGTTACAACCCTAGATTTCCCTACCCTTCCTAATCAGCTTGTAGTAATAGTAAAGATGAGTAAATACTAGGAATTAATTAGAGGTATCCATTACTATGTCAGAAACAAAGATAAAGCTATTGAAACTTGAGTATTTGGCCCAAAATATGGTATTAAGCCTGAAAAATCAGAATCAAAAATCATGGTTGCAAGCAGATATGCTTTGTGTGCACCCAGTGTGAACATTAATGGCTTTTTTTTTAACATCTTAATGATTAGTTGAAAAGTCTACTGAAGTCATTTGGTTCTCCGCCTTAACAACTTCAGGCACAGACTTTTGTTTAGGTTGTGATGGATCTGAGAAAATAACCCCATAGAGGTCAGTGTCATTTTTCTAATGACAAACTCAGTGATAAGTATCAATGCATGAATTATAGATACAAGGACCCTTTTTCAGGAAGCTAGAAACTAACTACAGAAAGCTGCCTCTTAAAATCCAGTATTATTTCCATTCTCCATTCTACCCTCTGACTCATGCCTTTTGAGCCAATCAAAGAAGAATACTGTAAATCCCTTCAGTTTTTCTGGGTTATAGGTAATACAACATAAATCTTTATTTTCTGCATCACTGAGGTTTTCTATCTGGAGTGAATACTACTGGAAGTAGTACCATTTTCATGCCAAAAAAATCCAAATGAAAACAAGCCAAAAGAACTCCAGACCCTGGCACTGAGGACCTTATTATTCTGGGAAAGACATAAGTGAGTCCCATGAACAATTTTTGTTTTGAATCATGAAAAGCCTTTTCTGGTAGTATATGGGTCTGTTCATCACAGAAAAATACCCTCTTTTTTAAGAGTAATATAGAAAACAAACATAGATATTTCACACAGAAATACTCAAAAGAAGTGGGATAATTTCAGAAAAAATATTCTAAGCTCAAAAAATAGATTGGAAATATGTGGCAGTGGCTTTTTAGGCAAAAAGAACTCTCTGAGAAGCTCTTTCTTGAGTTTCCTTGGTGGTGATAGGGAATGAATTTCTGGAATGAGGGACATAAGAAAAGCACATAAACTAATTTTTGGTTTGCATATTGTATTTTTTTTCTTTTGGGGGAGAGGTGTGTGTGGAAAAGCTTTAGTATTGATAGCAATGTTACTATTCTTTCTGCCCCAAAAATACAGGCTAACAATATGTGCCATTGATATAACCAAGTTTTATAGACTTTGTTGATCAGAGACTATTTTCCAAAATTCTTACATAATTTGGAGTGTAAATGTTCATGCCATCGGTCATAAAAGTACACATTCTATCTACAAGAATTTTTTTCTTCTATGATCCAGCATAGCTCATGTTGGTCTATGTGGATCTGCAAACTTCTTTTTTTCATTTCTTGGTCTGAACTTGTTTGAGTATTTCTCTGTCCCTAAAGAAAAGCGTCAAAGCAGAGACAGATCTGCTGGAGAAATTCCTTTCACAATTTTCATGCATCAATGAATGAAGAGGAAGAGGTTGGTGTACACAAAGAGACGTGGCATCTGCCCTGATAATTTTATGGCCTTATGCCTTTTTAACTTGAACCTAGTGTTTGGATTCTTCGGTAAGTAGATCTCCCGGAGGCCTGCTTTTATCCTGCTGGTAAGCATATATCCTGCTTACCAGGATAAAATGTGGCAAACCAGTGCATCTTAAAGCACAATGTTATATTATTCTGCTGTTAGTAATATAAGTAAGAAAATACATCTTGTTAAGTGTAGGATAAAAAAATCAGAAGCTGAATTCTAGGGCTATAAGATTAGGATAGCTTCAAAGTTCCAGCAGATTAGTATTTTAAAAACAAGATGCTATTGTATCTCCAAAAGGGAATGTGAATCTTCCTGGCAGTTATTTCTGGTAAAGAAATGGAGTGGTGAAACTCCAGTGTTACTTATAACTTCATTAGAAATTATTCATCAGGGAAAAAAGTCTACGTACTTTTAAGAATAGTAAAGTAGGTTGGGGGATTTTTGTTTTGTTGTTTTTTCTAACTACATTTGAATCTGCATTTGAATATATGTCTTTCAAATTTCCTTGGGGAAAAAAACATTTGGAACAGATGCTGATTTCAGTTACACTGCTGTAATCTTTGAAATCAATGAATTACTCCTGACTTAGTGTCACTGAGAATATACAATATATTTTTATATTTGAATATACAAAAAGGAAACTAAGAATTTGATCTCTTAGTCATATTTCTGTGTTATTTTCTATTCAGTATGCACAAATGCCCAAATAATACCTTATTTCTGTTAAAGAAAATGTGTCGCAGATAAATTTAAGCCTAACATAAGCAGGCCTAAGCTTCTACTCAATGCAGAAGAAATAACATTTTTTTTAATGTGATGCCTTGAACTGAACCTCCAGTTCCATTATTTGCTATTGTTCAGGCAACATATTTAAAAATTACAAGTTTTCCTACTGAACTGATGCTTCTGCTTTGGGAATTAAGAATCCGTTTTCTCACAGCTAAGTTCTCAACTAGTGTAAATGGTTTTGCATAATGATGATTATATTCACTGATTCCTACTGATTATCAGGAGGGATTTAGAATAAAATAAAAAATATCATGAGGGAGCATGTTTTATTATTAAAATTACTTAATTTTAATTAGGTTTTGGGATTTTTTTTTCTTCATTTCTTCAATAATGGTAATATCTTATGGTTTTGTGAAAGTCATTGTGGAAAATGCACATTTTTATTTAGATGTTTTGAACTGCAAGATAGTAATATGTTATATTTGTATTTTTCCACCCCCACACTCTTTTCAAGCTGCCTTTTTAATAATAATAATAATAATAATAATAATAATAATAAGCATACAACAGCTCAGTTCTTCAGATCTTTTTCCTAGCACTAGCTGAAAGGTACTGCCTGTTTATAATGGAGTACTTTACTGATGATGGTGAAGTTTAATATTTTAAAATTAGTCTATTTTTTTCCATTCACTCTAGTTAGTCTAGGCTACACCAATAAATTTACAAAAAACACTAATTCCACTTTGCCTGGAGAACGATATGCAAGGATCATCATGTGTCTGAATCTGAGGCAACAGCACACACTTTGCAGAAGAGCCACTCCATCATTTGTATCATCTTTCTGATGTAAAAGTATGTCCATTATTTGCATTTAGTGTTTCAGGTTGAAGTGCTGATTTCAACCTAAGTTATGACATTCCAAAAAATGCAAATAATGTACCAAGACAGAAACAAAAGTAGCGCCTGTAAGACGTGAAGTAATCATCCTGCCCTATTTAGACCTTGTAAGACCTCAGCTGAAATACTGAGTCAAGTTTTGGTTACCATTTCAAGAGATGAACTAGTGGAAGAGAGCTCAGAGGAAAATAATGAGAATGATCAGAGTTCTGGAAAACATCTACATGGAAAAATTGAAGGAACAGTGATCACAGCCTAAAGAAGAAAGGCAGCAACAATCAGTTTGCAAATAAGTAAAAGGTGCTGCACAGAGGATGATTAGTACTCTGTTCTCCAGATATGTAACGATTATGACAAGTGACAGTCTTAAACGGCAACAGAAGGATTTCTATATTAGGAAACAATAAAGACAAGTGCCGGAATAAATATTTTTTATGAGGTTGTGGAGTGTCCATCATTAAAAGTCTTTGAGAACAGATTAAACATATATTAGGAATTACATAAATAAAGCTGATCCTACCTCTCCTAATCCCTTGCAGTCCAAATATTCCACAAGGACTTTAAATTCTTCAGCTGACACTTCTACTTGTTTCAGATTTATTGTTGATTTATTGGTCCTCTGATACTACACTTTGATTTCACCATCATACTGTAAGTTGCCTGAACTTCGTATTTTCTGTGTTGGCCCCAAGATGTGAAAATTGTTGCATACTGGATTTGCATCTCAGGATAATCATGCTTTTTTTAGTTTTCCACTGTTTCAAAAGCATAAGGGACCTCTTTTCCTTTAAGAAAATAATTCCTTCTCATTTTAAGTTTACTTCAGGATGATGCCAGCTTCTTTGTATGCTGCATAAGCAAAGCCTTTTTGAAACCTCTGCTAGAAATGAAACCTCAAGATGATGGAGATACAGCAATAACCATGGATGAAGAGTGTTCCATTCCTGACTTGTTTCTGTGACTGGTCTCTATAGCAAGGAATATGAAGGAACCAATGATCTGCAGCCTTGTTTAGCAAAATTATAATAGGGATTAAATGACAGAGAACTATCTCACTTCTTTGTTTTATTCTGGGCACAACCGGATTAAAAACTGAGTGATTTCTACTTGGAGATATTGCCTAGTCAAAAGAGAACTAATTGCTACAACAGAGAAAATTACTTTCTGTTTTGAACACTCACATGAAGCAATCTACACCTCACTGTCAAATATAAAAATTTACAGATTTGGGGTAGAGGAAATAGCTATAAAAGTTCACTAAGTGCTGCCACCTATGAGGCATATTAAATCTTTGATGCACATAAAACACATCCTCCTCTTACCAGTTTATCTCAGAACATATCTGAGGGATCTAGCCTCTCTAAAACACAATACAATATATTTAAAGTGAAAACAGAATTACTAAATCAGGTAAAGTCTTTCAAAGTAGAGAAAAATCAAAATTCTGATTGATAGGAAAATACCTTTTCTGAGCTGATTGAATTTTTGGTTCCCTTTGGTTGCCACCTTTCTGACTGATTTGAGAGGGAGGGACTACACATCAGTCTTCCTTGGTGGCAACTCAGTTAGATAGGGCTATTTCTCAACTGTACATAGCCTTCGCAGTTAACATGATTTGAAGAACATTTAGTCCACTAAAATGATACTGCATTCTATCATTTGTGATAATTAATTAGAAATAAGTTAATTATACTTACTGCTTAAAATGTTCATATAGAGACAAAGTAGGGGGATACACAGCAGTGTATCAGATGAGCAGCTGTGAAGAAAGCCAAGAGACAAAATTATCTAGAAATCTCATGTTATGCTAATTATTCCTGGTGCTGTACTCAGTTGCTGGAAATAATTATATGAATTGTCTTCAAGCTCTATGCTTAAACAGGTGTGTACTATTTACAGGCTACATTTAAAGGCTGGATGGATATTATGTATGCAGCTATTGACTCAAGAGATGTAAGTATGCAAATATTTTAAATTATCTTCTTTTCTTGAGGTCTGTCTATCAACAAGTGTGTATTTATATATCTTCCAAAAGCAATTAATATCCATACAATAGAATGAAACAAAATTAAATTAACTAACATGAGATTCTGCTGTAACAAATTGTGGAAAACTGAATGCAAACTGCCAGATGCTGTCAGTAATAGATGGAACGGACAAAATATATCGATATAAGTGACAGGAGTATTTTCCAAGCAAAAAACATTAAGGACACTTTGCCTAAGGTTGCCGCTTGTTCACTTGAAATTTGCACATGACATCTTAGGAATTATATTTCACATCTTTTTTCTTAGGTATTACAGCAACCTAAGTATGAAGACAACCTGTACATGTATTTGTATTTTGTCATCTTTATCATTTTTGGGTCTTTTTTCACCCTGAACCTGTTCATTGGTGTCATTATTGATAACTTCAATCAGCAAAAAAAGAAGATAAGTATTGTTTCATCTATCTTCTAAATATATTCTAAAATATTGCATTTTTGCAGGTGCATGATATATGGGATGTACACCCCTGGTTTGTTCAAAATTGAAAAAGCTGAAGTATCTTAGGATATAAAATCTTACCAAGATGTAGTATGCATTAACGTCATAAGATTTTACATTGTAGTGAAAAGGACAGACCCTTCTGTTTTCAATGTCCAGTTTAGTCTTCCTCAAGTCATCTGCTTTTCCATGCCTAAACTTCATGAAATCTCCTTACATGATCAAACCCCTGATTTAGGCCTCCACATTAAAGCACTCATAATTTCTTGATTTTTTTTCTTCTTGATTTGTAATGATTCTATCAGCACAAAAAAAATAGCTAGTTGGTTATGAAAAATAAAGCATTATTTCATCACACTACTACAGATGCTCTTTTAATGATCCCAAGAATTCAAGTTCTATTTTGTGGCACTGAACGATCTGAAACTATACAGAACAGGAGTGGTTTGTAACTATCTCAGGGCCTTTTTTTATTGTTTCATAGTGCAGATGTAGATAATCTCACTGGTACAGATGGTCTGAGTATCAGATGCTCATCTTTAAAATTATTTTCTGTAAATAGATAAGGTAATGAAAGCTAAAGGACAAAAGCAGCTATGAATTACTAGTTTAGTTTTACTTTACTGGACTTCACTTTCTTTGGGTTTATGTTACTAATGAGAGATGCTAAGTAAGATTTTTGGAAGCTGTACATGCTAGAGGCCTAGAGGTATATGGTTAGGGAGCTTGTCCAGTGTATGGTGCATGCATTCCCATGTCTTCAAGCTTCCCAAACACTCACCCACAAAAGGGCTGCATCCAGTCCTATGCGTTCATAGACATTCCTGGAATTAGATGTCTGCAAGTATCTTTTATCCAGGAAAAATTTACTTCAAGAGGTATGTGGAGTCTGATGGGTTTTCATTCAAGCTGCCTCTACAAGAAAGTTACTATGGGCAGTGGATTTTTGTTAGGTTGCCATGAAAGACCCATAATTCTCTCTTTATTTTCACTGTCAGACCCCAAAGGCCAGTTCTGGCTTTTGCTAATCAGAACTTCATTGAACATAGAAGCTAATCAAGATAAAAGACTTAAAAGAGATCATTTTGCTGTTAACAGTATCAAGAGTGCTTCAATCTTCAGCTCAGTTTCTCCAAAGTCTGATAATCCATCTTCTCAAAAACCTTGAAGACTTGGAGTCCCAATGCTAATGTTGTGATTGCTAAACTAGAGATACCTAAAGCACTAACTCATTCATGTACTGAAAACCTGACTTTGCTTCCTTTTTTTCACTAAAATCGCAGTTCAGAAGTGACAGTACTGAGCAGCCCAGACTATTTGAGCTTATCTCAGATGCTGTTTACTGTATCTCTTCCTATAAAAGAAAAGAGGTACTGAAAAGGATTTCTTGGGGTTCAAGGAAAATAACTGTAGAAAAACGCTGCATTACTGTTTTTTGTGAGATGCAGTACTGGATGTCCAGACAAATTCTGGACATAAATGCTTAGATTACAGACAGCTGCATTTGATAGCTAAGAGATTTTTCCCAATTCAGTCTTCTTGATTTTCATGAAATAAATAAATAAATCACATTTCTCTCTAAGAGTTTTTTCAACACTGCATATAAATGTGATTATAACCAGTTTTGATTTCATGTTTTTACTTTGGAGGTCAAGACATATTTATGACAGAAGAGCAGAAGAAATACTACAATGCAATGAAAAAGCTGGGATCCAAAAAACCACAAAAACCTATACCAAGACCAGGGGTAAAATTATTTATATACAGCAGACCAATAGCTATTTAGAAACAGCTCAGTTTTTATTGATATATAGAGAGCAGAAATATGCCCATATGAAAATTATCATTAACTAGTGTATCAGTCAGCAAAAATGGAAAATGAAAACACAGTAAAAAAAATTATTTTCCCCTTGCAACCATTTTATGTATGAATATACAAACAAAGGAGGCTGAACTAAGCTGTTGTATTCACTTTAATTTGACTACTCTTCTTAAGATCATTATTTACATTTTTATTGAAGTCTCATAGGCCTTACTGCATGTATTTTTCTACTTTCTTCTAACAGGAAAAGAAAAACAATTACAGTTTGTATTGGATGTTTCTTTTTTTCTTTTCTTCTCAGAACAAATTCCAAGGCATGGTCTTTGATTTTGTGACGCAGCAAGTATTTGACATCAGCATCATGATTCTTATTTGTCTTAACATGGTTACCATGATGGTAGAAACTGATGACCAGAGTAAAGAGATGGAAAATATTTTATACTGGATAAACCTGGTGTTCATTGTCCTTTTCACTGGAGAATGTGTCCTGAAATTAATTTCACTTCGCCATTACTATTTCACTATAGGCTGGAACATTTTTGATTTTGTAGTTGTCATTCTCTCAATAGTAGGTAAGTCTTGTTTATTAAACTAAAAAGAGGGTAAAATGAATATAAGGTGAACTTTTACTCAAATAGAGCTATATGGTTGGCTTTTGCCATTGCAAGGTTTACAACTAAGTCATGTAACTTTTCATTTTATCTAATAATTTACCCAATCCAACCATCAAAACTGTTATAATCACTCAAAATATATTGCACCTGCAAATATTAAGTATAACTGGTATAACAGAAATTAAACAAGCGGACCTACAGAATTGCTTTAATTGCTACGTAGAACCACCAATTTTAAAACTATTTTTCTAAATTTCTACTATGATATGGAGATTAAGTGGTAATGTATCTTGGTCTTATTTTTTTCTGTTTTAGGTATGTTTTTAGCCGAGATGATTGAAAAGTATTTTGTGTCCCCCACATTATTCAGAGTCATCCGACTTGCCAGAATCGGTCGAATTCTGCGTCTCATTAAAGGCGCTAAGGGAATCCGCACTCTGCTTTTTGCTTTGATGATGTCTCTTCCTGCTTTGTTCAACATTGGTCTGCTGCTGTTCCTGGTCATGTTTATCTATGCGATATTTGGCATGTCCAACTTTGCCTATGTTAAGAGGGAAGCTGGGATCGATGACATGTTCAACTTTGAAACGTTTGGCAACAGCATGATCTGCCTATTTCAAATTACCACATCTGCTGGCTGGGATGGTTTGCTAGCCCCAATTCTTAACAGTGGGGAGCCAGACTGTGACCCTAACAAAGCTCATCCGGGGAGCTCCGTGAAAGGCGACTGCGGCAACCCTTCCGTTGGGATTTTCTTCTTTGTCAGCTACATTATCATATCATTTCTGGTAGTGGTGAACATGTACATTGCTGTGATTTTGGAGAACTTCGGTGTTGCCACTGAGGAAAGTGCTGAGCCCTTGAGTGAGGATGACTTTGAGATGTTCTATGAAGTCTGGGAGAAGTTTGATCCCGATGCAACACAATTCATGGAATTTGAGAAATTGTCTGATTTTGCAGCAGCACTTGAGCCTCCTCTTCATCTACCCAAACCAAACAAAGTCCAGCTTGTTGCAATGGATCTGCCCATGGTAAGCGGGGACAGAATTCACTGCCTTGACATCTTGTTTGCTTTCACAAAGCGTGTTTTGGGGGAAAGTGGGGAGATGGATGCCCTCAGAATACAGATGGAAGATCGGTTTATGGCATCCAATCCTTCAAAAGCTTCCTACGAACCAATTACAACCACGTTAAAACGAAAACAGGAGGAAGTATCTGCTGTCATTATTCAACGGGCTTATAGACGTCACCTTTTAAAACGAACAGTAAAACAAGCTTCCTTTATCTACAACAAAAACAAAACCGAAGGAGGGACTGGTCAGGGTATGAAAGATGAAATCCTTATTGACAAGTTAAATGAAAACTCATTTACAGAGAAAACCGATATAACTGCATCAACAGCAGTTTGTCCACCTTCTTATGACCGTGTAACAAGGCCAGTCAAAGAAAAGCATGAAAAGGAAGATAAGGATGTTCATAAATAAAAGCAAATAGCAAGCAAAATCATCTATGTGCAAAATAGTTCATAACCTGCAAGGATCATGTGTTTGTGTCAACTGGACTCCTGCTGGAGGTCTATGCCAAACTGACAATTTTTACAAATATACTGTACATTAAAGGTCAGTGCCTATTAAAAGACAGTGACCCCTCGTCAGTGACTGTGACTGTGAAATGGGGAAACAACCTTGACAGGAGGTTACTGTTCTCACTACCAGCTGACACTGCTGAAGAGGAGAGAAAAAATGGCTACTCAGACTGTAGGAACCAGTTAAAGGGGTGCAAACCAAGTATTTGTGTGTTTAGCATAAAACAATATGGTAACTGTATCCACTGTTTGCATTTCAACTGCCACATACGTCATATTTTTACAAAACCTGTGTTTGTGGATTCATCTTATTTTTATTCATATGTTGTTTATTATATGTGACTATTTTTGTAAATGGGGCTTCTGTTGGGGAAGGGGATGAAGTACACCTTTACAGGTACAAGGGCCAGGTGTTCTATTATACAACTAATATACACACAGAACTGATTTGCATGAAGGCATGCTGCACTTATAGATCATGCATGAAAATAACATTAAGTCACAAAGAAACAGATTTTTTTTTAGTGCGATGTTTCTGAAAAGGAATAACAGATTTTGAGGTGCTTAATTAATGTATTCATGTTGTATCACATCCAAACAAGTCTTGGTATGCCTGTAAAGTCCCCTATAACTCACAAGAACAGTAGAGATGGATTATTTTTTGCACAGACCATTAAGTTTCAGAAAGTGCAAACTTCTTTCTAGGTCTGGAGTCACAGATCTTGTCTTTGTCAAACGTCTTTCTGCATACAAATACTAAATTAATCTGCCTCAGCCCTCCAAACTGATCAAAAAGAGCCCTTTATAAAGTTGTTCTGCTTTATCCTGCAGTATTGTTTAGCCATCTTCAGCTCTCAGTAAGGTTAATGTTGTTGTAGATGTTAATGAAAAGCCCTCTGCTATGTAAATAGTAATTTTTAACCTGTGGTGCATGTTTGAGCAAACAGATAATGACCTAAGCACATTTATTGCATCAAATATGTACCACAATAAGTGTAGTGTGCAAGCGTTCAATAGGTAAAATTACGTATTATCTACCATTATAGATAGTTTGGATGCTACCAATGCATGTTTATATTGCCTATGCTGCTGTTCCTTTGCCTGTCCAGGATTGTTAAATATGGGAAGCCATACATCAGAGCTAAATGAAATAACCTACTCAACAAGACCTCATTCCTCCATACCATTAAGCAATATTTTGCAGCTATTTAGGAGCTTATTTGTTTTATGTTCTTGAATTTTCAGTGAAAAGCATACAGTGTATATCCAAACTGTACAGACATGTTGAAAACTACTAAACCTGTTGCAAATAATGTTAGAATTTTATAAGCAAATATAAATACTGTAAAAATCATTTTATTTTATTTTTCAGCATTATGTACATAAAAAAAGAACTGAATTTTATCTTCAGGTTGATGTCACACCATTATTGTTATGTTCTGTCCATAGTACTTTTTCACAGAAGAACTCCAGAGAACAAGATATAACTAAGAGAATGGATAGCTGTAGGTTCTTATTTTTTACAATATTTGCAAACATGTCAATACTTTCTGCGAAATAAATTCATAATTTGCTTTGAAAAAGCCAAGGGTTTTTTGCAGTTGGGAAATGGTGTAAAGTTCAAATTGAATGTCTAAGCAGTGCCTGCATCATAAGCTTTCAGATACAACCTTTCTTTCACAGAATCCTTAATCTTTTCTCATATTTACTCACAGGCTTTTTTTGATTCATGCTGCACTAGAACAGTTCTAAATGTTATCTTGGGTCCACAATATTTTTTCACAAAGAGAAAGTAGCAAAATTGTATAATCCAACACATCAGGACATTTTATGTTTCTTACACAGGAAAATTAAATATAGATTACTTTTATTAAAATTATTGACTAATACTGTATTAGTGAACTGCATGCAGGAAGATGCTACTATTACCCTAACTGATGCTAAAGAACATTATTAATGCGCCAAAATAATAAAGATTACATTTTTTATTGTATGTTCCTTTTGTCTTTATTATCTGACATTAGTATAAAAAAGGTATGCTTCTAAAACCACTGAATGAGAGGATACCAAAAACATTTACAGCTATACTGTTCTTCCACTTAAGCAAATCCTTGGGACTTGCTTGTTAGTCACCAACTAGGAATTTCTAATTCAATGCATGTTAGACACTGAGCACGATGATTCTGCATGTATCAATAGTACTGCCCTGAGTAACTTCATGAGTTCATGCAGCAGCTCCATGCAGCGGGGTACTCAATCATCAAATACCAGAGCTGTCCTGAGTGTGTCCCAGAAGGCTCAGGGCATTTACAGGAATGAGAACTGTGCATTCATAAGCTTACAAAGAGAAACTGAGGATTGAAAATAGTACTAGATACATGACACTCCCCAGCTTGGATTATGAGAACCAGTTTATTCTTGCTAGTTACTATTCACAAACAGGCTACAGAACGTCTCGTATTCACGTTCATTTCTGAAAACCGTGAATCAGCAGCAGAGTGAATAACCATTGGTCTTTTCCTCAGGAATTTTTAAGAATCTCTCTGGAAGTACCACGTTCCTAGCAGCTATCATTTGTGGATACTGACATGGAAAAATGCAAATGCAGCTGGAAAGTGGGCCTGTCAGCTATTCTTTATCAATTGCTTCAGTGAATTTCTGAAAATGTTCATTTTATATGCTTACATAATTTTATATTGCATTCCCCTACAACTTACAACGAAAACACTCAGAGGTGAATACTGAACTTTGTATAAAACCAGTTTATGAGCAATTGTATTCCGCATGCTTGCTCAGTTGCTAATGCAGAAATAAAATTTCATAGCATCTTCCCTGAAATTCATCACAAATCTTTCAAGGGAGGAAAATGTTTCTCCTTCAAATTGCTCTGAAATGCATTATGAAAAAAAAGTCTAAAACTTTGGTAGAAGGGCGTAGGTATCAAAATTAAAAGATAAGTGTTTTCAGATTAATATGTAGACAAAAAAATGTCTTAAAAGGTTACCTTAAAAAGTATGTAAATTATCCACAAACCGACAGGAATAATAGACTGCTTCAAAAATAAGGTAGTAAATTGAACACTATTTTTTCATATTCTATATATAGCTTTTTAAACTTTGCTTTTCTCAAGGAAATAGTTTTAAGGTAAATGAGAACTATGCTACTGTCACTGCAGATCCCAGGTCATGACCACACAAAAATACTTGTTTCTCATACCTATTTTAAGTTTTCAATGTTACAGAAGCCGAAATGTTGCTTCAGAACAAGTAGAGCATCACTTAAACATACCGGGAAATTTTGAGGATCATCTTGGCCAACAAGGAAAACCAAATATGCTTACGTATTACTTTGGCACCTTCCTGACACTGAGGATGAGAAGCGTGTAATGGAGTAGTGCCATGTGTGATGAATTTGTTAGGAAAGCTTACTCTGAGCGCTCTTTGCTAGAAGAATTGGCTTCACCTACTAATTCAGTGGAAGATGGGTTTGCCTCCTTGTATTAAGTGGCATTATTGACGGTTTTTGTGTTAGACGGACAACACAACCATTCTAAAGGAACGTTATTTAGCAACAGTTGTTTCTTTCTGGTGTCTAGAAATTATGACTGAGGATGCTTTCACCTCCATGGGAAAACCTGAATTTTACTACTCTTTGCAACTCTGTGATTCCCTAGGAGGAAAGAAAGAGGGGGAAAAAGAGAACTTTCTGTATTTGATTTCACCCCATTGCTATTTAATTTCTACAGAGAAGCTTCACGTAACTTGAAGTGCTCAGTATTGAGATACATTATGAAACATATGGAGTGTGGGCCACATAGGCGTATGTCCAGCCAAAAAAAAGCAAGAAAATAAACAAATTCTCAAAGCTTTCCATTCAGCATTCAGGCAGTGACAGAGTACCCGGTGCGAGCACTCCTCAGGGAGAGCGGTGCGAGCCCGCCTAGGGGCAAGCGGTCGAATCCGCCCGACCCCGCCGGCAGAGGGCGCCGCACCCCCAACCAGCACCGCCCGCCAAGGTGCCTTCAAACCCCTCCCCCTCCGCCTCGCACCCAATGGTACGCGACCTCCCGTCCGGGTGGTCCCGCCCCCATCTCGCGAGAGCCCAGTGGGCCGCCAGGCACGTTTCGGCGTTTTCCTCAAGTTTTTCTTCCCGTGTCTCTCCCGCCTCCTTTCCCTCCAAGCCAATGGCAGTGGGCCCCCCCGCCACCCCGCCAAAGGCAG